TTCCTGTCCAACCTTCACAGCTACCGTAGCAGCCTCGGGACCTAAGTCCCACTGTACTTCACCCTGACAGCTGCCAGTCCCCTACTCTGCTGTTGCCAACCTCCCACAAGCAAGGACATTTGGGGTTGGGCTTTGGGAGGTGTGTGTCCTATGGTGCAATGAGGGCAGACAATGAGCAACAAAAGTCTACTTGCCCCTACAGGGATCCTTAATATTAATGGCTTTCAAAAATGATATGTTTGTATTTGGTTTTCAAGAAGAAACATCTTAACTGATAGACAAAGAACAAGCTAGTTTTCCTGGCAAAACATGTTTCAACCTGTGAATGAATTGTCACTGCAGGTTTTTGATGACCTTGGTCAGGGCGTGTTGGAGTCAGCATTTGAAGGCTACAATGCCTGCATATTTGCCTATGGTCAGACAAGCGCTGGGAAGACTTATACCATGATGGGAACCAATGTAAGTCCAAACTGTACAATACCATAAATTGCAAAATCACATCACTTTAATTAAACAAATTATTTGAACTTCTTGTTTGAGCTCTAGCTATCCAGCTTTCAATAACTGCAATTAACAAAGTCCCCCCTTCCTCAATACAATTTAAGTTCCCACTGTAGGGTTGATTCCATCTATCCCATTATTTAGTTTTCCTTGTTTATTTATATTTTTGTTGCATTCTAGATGAATAACTATACACACTATGCTGCTGAGTTCAGTTCACAAAAAGCAACAAGGCTTGGTTTTTTAGCATTAACAAAACCAACTGCACTATCGACTAGATAGTGATTTAACCAGTGGACCGTATCATTCACCCTTTGAACAAGTCTACCACAAATGTTTTAAGACCTTGTGTTCTCTATCCTTGGTATCTTGTTATATTTTTCAAACATTTATTTGTCTTGCTGAGTATTGTATCTCTTATACTTGCCAACTATTGTATCTTTTACTTGCTAAGTATTGTATCTTATACTTGGTAAAGGTCATCTTACTGAATGTTGGAATAAATTGTTAATTAGTATTTCATTATTGATTTATTATTCATTAAAAGCCTTTTTGCATGTTGTTATTATTTCCAGGAGGAAGTGGGACTTATTCCTAGGATATGCAAGGTAGTTACTAATAGTATTGTACTTTTTATTTTATGTTGTTCTGGAAAATTGTTGATGCCCTCTCATATTTGGGTTGAACCTTGTACTCCCAGTAATGTTCTTTGGGTGAAAGGTGGTTGTACAAATTGTTGCAGCAGTAACTTTGATTGTTTATCTAATTGCAGGGATTATTTAAGTACATTGAGCAGAACACATCTCTGAGTTCTTCCTTCAGAACTGAAGTGAGGTAAACACAATATTTAATCCCTGTCAAGTTTGTAGTGTACAGTGTGCATTCAGATAACTAAACATAAGCTTTGCTATTTTGTTATAGCTACCTTGAAATCTACAATGAACATGTGCGGGACCTGTTGAGGCCACAGAAACTGAAGAAACTTCCGCAGCAGAATTTGAAAGTGCGTGAACATCCCAAGCAAGGTCCATATGTTGAAGGTAAGGACTAGCTTGCTGTGTGAAATCTCTTTACCTGTTTAAATCCCTAGCTCACTGAGGTTGCTTTAGGGATCCAAACCAATGCTATACTGATAATTTGACAACTGTAGTAGTTCCCTTAATATTGATTAACTGTTGCTAATTATTGTATGGCAAACAGGTCCAAGATGAAACGGTGATTTCGGATTAGCTTCCTGATTGGTCTGAATTTTGAAATATGGAACACTAAGATGGACTGCTTTTCAGAACATTGCTCTAAAGAAATAGATTGTTGTTAAGTAAAAATCTTTTTCCTTCATATTTTACAAAAAATTTTCAAGGAAGTGACCTGAAAATTGTAAATATATGCCTAACTTTTGCATGCCTCTGGTACTTTCAGGGAAGAAATGCAGTACCTAGGAAAGCTGTCGAAAACCTTCGCACATACAATATAGTAACTTGGGCATAACTAGCAGACTTGACTAGACATGCTGTGGGTTTAACAGGGAGCATGATGATGACTTACGTCAATTTACGTCAAAACACCACTCTGTTTTTTCCCTCTCTTTCAGGGTTAACAAAGCAGCATGTTTCTGATTTTGACTCAATTGAAGTTCTCATGGAGCAGGGTAACAGGCTCAGGTTTGTAAGCCTTGCTTAAGGTTGTCTTCGGATTTATCTATATTGTCACAAACATTAATACAATTTTGCCTTTCCCTAGCAGTGTTTGAAAGAATATTGAAACCTTAGTCTTAAGCCTGTTTCATTTTTCAGAGCAACTGCTGCCACAAGAATGAACAACACCAGCAGTCGTTCACATGCAATTTTCACAATAAAGTTTACCCAGGTAAGTATGCTTAGTGCTTGTGTGTAACTAGTTATCAAGTGTTTATCTCATTTTGTTTAAGGTCTTTAACTTTAGAGTGATCAATATATCAAAACTCTTTGCAATGCTTATGCATCATCAAGTAGACAGCTGATGGATAAAAGATTTACAGTGAAACCTGCAATAAGCACTCCTCATATTAAGCAGACACCCTCTATCACAGCTGTAAGTGGACACCCGCATGAGTCCCTAAATTTTCTTTCCACATTTATTGTAAAATAAACGTGCATTCAGCGGACACCTCTGTTAAGTGGACGTGGATGTTGGACACTAATTTCAAGCCATTTTGTTGCACAAAACCTGCAATAAGCAGACACTTCAAAGGCTTTTTAATTCTAAAAGCTTAGCTCAGACTTCTTTAATATTGTTCAGCAATGTCGTTTGATGACATTGACAATTCCAGATTAATACAGTGACTGACTGGACATTGTGCTATGGGCAGTCTTTGATCTTACACTGTGTTACACCGTGTTATAAAAGGTTTGATAACTAACTATTATTGCACAATATATTAGAACCTGTTTAGAGCATACATCCTGTATTAAGCGGACACTAGTGAGGTCCCAATGGTGTCCCCATAATACAGGTGTCACTGTAATTAAAATCTAAATTCTAAATCTATCCATCAATCTGATTATTAGTTCATCTATCTCTTCCCTTTTTTTCCTTTTCCACCTATCCTTTCCTTTCCTTGGAAAAAAGTTGTGAAACACTTCAATCACATTTACATTTCATCGTTGCAGGCCAAATTTATGGAAGATATGCCCAGTGAAACTATCAGCAAGATACATTTAGTAGACTTGGCTGGCAGGTTTGTAATTCATTGGTTCACCTTTTACTGGCAGTAAGTAAGTAAATAAGTACTTTTTTAGACACATTTCACCAGTGAGCCTGAGGCTCGTTTAAATGTGAACTTGTATCCTAAAATTAAAATATAAAATTTAAATGTTATCTTTTCACTAAAAGTACAAAACTAGACTATAAAATTTAAAATTGAAAAACTAGACTATAAAGATTTAAATATGTAAACTAATCGATACAAAGATTATAGCAACAATTGGCCTCTGTTGATATATTTGGGCTCCTTAGTAAGTAATTCTGTTGTAAGTACAGTGAAACCTGAATACTTCAGACACCAAGGGGGACAAAAAGCATTGTCATCAGTACAGTATTTTTTTAGTTTGAATCTAAAATCTCCTTCTCAGAGAAAGAACCAGTTATTAATTCACTACCTAATCTTACACTAGTAATTGGATTATTTCAAACAATTGGATTAGTTGTGGATGGGTGTGTTAGCTAAGAGAGGGGGATTTTAGAGTTATTTTATTCTGTTCCCTTATCTCCATTTTTAATACCTGTAATCTGTAAATCCAGTAATGGTTTTCTATTCCCGGTGGTAAAATAAAATGCTTCATGCTATGAATAGCAGATCTAGTTTCTGGGCACTCAACTAACAAAGCAAAAATAACTAAATAAGATTTCACAGTTCAAAATGAAAACTGGCAGGAGATCCACTCACTGGACCACTGCTGCCTCCACAACAATGTATTCCTCTTTTGTCATTAGTAATAATAAATAAAATCTTCCTTCTCATGATATCAAATGAATATTAAAATCAAGCAGTAATGAGTTATGAGTTATGAGTACATTCTCACTACAAGTGCTGTAAGAAACGTCTGGAGGCGAGTAATGAGAATTTGTTTTTCTTTGTTGTTGTTGTTCCTAGTGAGCGTGCTAGTTCAAGTGGAGCCGCTGGCGAGAGGTTAAAGGAAGGAGCGAATATCAACAAATCTCTTGTGACTTTGGGGATTGTTATTTCGACACTTGGTAAATATATCATTCTATCCTTTTCTCCAGGTGCAGTCTCTTCCATTAATAGCTTAAGCGGTCCAAATCTTTCATTTCTCCGCGAAAAGTGGAATTGACAGGGAGTGTATTTTTCTCGTTAAGCGAGAGCGTAACGTGTGAGCGATACGCAGCGGACGAACATTTGAGACAAATTTTGGCCATGTGCAAAATTAGCTTTAACAAAGGAAACCTGAAAATAACAGTTTACTAAGATGGAAAAACACCAAAGAGATCATAATAAATCATAAAGGAACAAAGATAGCCAAGAATAACACGGATTACAATCTACGAACTTGAAAAATTTAGGCTAAGCTTTTCAAGATACGTGAACCGTGACGTGGCTCCTTCAATGCAGTCAGTTCTGCCTGACATTACCTCTGTTGTTTCTCCCACAGCTGAAAACTCCATTAATTCCTCGTCTTCATCAAAGCGTCCTTCATTCAGGAAGAAGCTGTTTGTTCCATACCGTGATTCTGTGCTGACATTTCTTCTTAAGGACAGTTTAGGAGGAAATTCTAAAACTGTTATGGTTGCAGGTCAGTTTTGATTTTTTTTTACTGTAACATAATCAATGGTAAATTACAGGGATTTCTCCTGCGAAAAAAAGTCTTATCTGTTCTCTGTTAAAGTCAAGATATGTTTCTCCTGTGCACACATCCATGTGCTAATGTTAGCTGGTGAGTTAGTAAAAATCTTGGGATCGTCTTCGTCATCTTCGGAAATCGTCGAAAATGTCTGGAAAACTTTGTCGACGGTTTCATTACTTTCGAGAAATCGTCGAAAATCTTCGGGAAATTTAAGCATATTTGGGTAATAAAAGGTAAATTGAAAGTTGATTTCTCGGAAGTATGAATTTTCTCTTCTCACATTCAACGCAATATCAGCTCATTCGCTGTGTTTGCTCTAAGAAAAACTCTAACTCTAGCCAGCGGAGAAATTTATTTCCCTCTTTATGTCGTGTTTGAGTTTTCTTTGTGCTTGTTTTCATGGACCTGTAGTTTGTAAGTTATTGCTTGTTTTTTTTTAGCTATTTCACCTGCCGAATGCAACTATGGAGAAACACTTAGCACTCTTCGCTACGCGCATCGAGCAAAGAGCATCATCAACATGCCAACAATTAACGAGGTAAAATAAAACTTGAGTGATTTTCATGTCACTGATAAGTTTAATATACCTTCAGGACGGTTTTACTGAAGACTGTTGGAAAAAAGCGATCCGAAGCATTGGAATCTTATGGAGCCAATCATAGCCATAGAGGCAATGAACCAATCAGATCTCGAAGCAAAGGGTGCCAAGCGCGGGAAAACATCAACTGGCACCAAGCGCGGGAAACGTGTGTAAATCAAGGCCGAGTCTTTAATTTTGTTCCTGATTTCTTGCTTAATTATATTTGTTCCTTTGTAGGATCCAAATGTCAAACTTATCAGGGAACTTAGATCTGAAATCGAGCGACTCAAATCCATCATCCGGGACACCGAAATGGGAGATGAGGTAACTTGCTACTCTGTGTGACTTCAACTTCTATGTCAACATTGTTCGGTTGTCATATAACGGTTGCTTTCGTTTTTCGTAGAAAATGTCCATAAATGACTCCATGAAAGCTGCAAAGAAACTTCATGAGAACCAAGCGCGGGTCGAGCAGCTAACAAAAGACTGGACCGAGAAATGGAAGGAAGCGAAATCCATCATGCAGGTGAGTGGAGTGGGTGGGGCACTGAGCAAAAGTGGAAAAAAAACACCCATCTTTTTACTGATAGATTTTTCTCTTGTCTTTGAGTTTCCCTTTATGATTACCAGTGAATCTTGTCAGATGTGCTTAGTTCTTGGTTTCTCTCACAATCGCATGATGCAGATCATTTAAGGTTTTACCTCTGGTTGTGTTTGCGTTTTTTCGCGTGGGAAAACTTTGTTTGATTTGGTAAATAAATGATTCCCATTGCTGTCCCTTATATTCTGCAGGAGAGCGAGTTACAGCTTCGTCGTCAAGGTTCATGTGTGGTTCTTGTCGACCTTGAACTTCCTCATTTGGTTCGCTTGGAGGAGGATCCGCTGAGAACAGAGATAATGCTGTATCGTGTCATGGTAAAAAATCTTTACAAGCTTTAGAGCATGTTTCATAAGGCATACGAATGTGGATAGTTGTGACACATCGAATTTTTGCGTCAGGTGGAGTAACAGTGATGAGATATTTGGGAGTTTAAGAACACCACGACGACGACGGCAACGAGAACATCACCAAACAATAATGAGCAAAACAATGGCTTTGCACGTGCGTTATAAATCTTTTTACATGTCTTAACCGTCCTCTACAAAGCAACAACGTGAAATGACCAAGTTCTGCGTAGTCTGAGGAACACGAACGAAGACGGTTTATTTCGTATTTCCATTTGGAATTGAAAGCCGTCAATGCATATTTAGCCTGAGCACGTTTTTAGAGCCATTTGCGTACTCAAAAGATCTAGGCAGTCAAAATGTAAATTCAGTTTTGAGTGGGCGTCGTACTCGGCGTCGCCGTCGTCGTTGCTTAAGCTCCCTTTATAGTCGACTTTTCTAGTTTAACAGTATGGCCAATAACTAATGGTCAACACATACAGCTCGCAGGTCACTGATTGTCTGTCATTGTATACCATAAAAAGGGTTCTCTAGTGACAACGAATTGCCTGAATTTAAGATCTCATGGATGTTGTTCTTGTTAACAGCACGGTAAGACACACATTGGACGAGAAGACGCCCCCAACCCTCAGGATATCGGTGAGTCGATAAAGAAACTTGTCACGTGATCTCTGACTCGTCGATAGTCGTCTCTTGAATTCATTGAATATTAACGAGGCTAGCACGAGCGTGAGGGGTGACGGGAAGGCGAAAAATCCTATGATTCCCTCCGCTCCACATCCCTAAGTTTCATCCAGACTCCCTCGACCGTTGTCGCTGATCTTAAGAGATGACTAGGGACGAGTCAGACATGATCCTGTGATCATGAAAACAACCGGATCTGCTGTACCGGTAACCGGACTATTTTTTTCCCAGTTCTTGAAGGTGAAGACATCGAGAAAGAACACTGCGTACTGGATTTTGTCAAAGGAAAGGTGACATTTGAACCGATTTCCGCCATGTGTTGGGTGAATGGAGTGGCTGTCACGCAGGCCACTAAACTCAATCAAGGTATCGTGATCTATTACTCGACAAATCAACCTCGTTTGNTAAATAAGTACTTTTTTAGACACATTTCACCAGTGAGCCTGAGGCTCGTTTAAATGTGAACTTGTATCCTAAAATTAAAATATAAAATTTAAATGTTATCTTTTCACTAAAAGTACAAAACTAGACTATAAAATTTAAAATTGAAAAACTAGACTATAAAGATTTAAATATGTAAACTAATCGATACAAAGATTATAGCAACAATTGGCCTCTGTTGATATATTTGGGCTCCTTAGTAAGTAATTCTGTTGTAAGTACAGTGAAACCTGAATACTTCAGACACCAAGGGGGACAAAAAGCATTGTCATCAGTACAGTATTTTTTTAGTTTGAATCTAAAATCTCCTTCTCAGAGAAAGAACCAGTTATTAATTCACTACCTAATCTTACACTAGTAATTGGATTATTTCAAACAATTGGATTAGTTGTGGATGGGTGTGTTAGCTAAGAGAGGGGGATTTTAGAGTTATTTTATTCTGTTCCCTTATCTCCATTTTTAATACCTGTAATCTGTAAATCCAGTAATGGTTTTCTATTCCCGGTGGTAAAATAAAATGCTTCATGCTATGAATAGCAGATCTAGTTTCTGGGCACTCAACTAACAAAGCAAAAATAACTAAATAAGATTTCACAGTTCAAAATGAAAACTGGCAGGAGATCCACTCACTGGACCACTGCTGCCTCCACAACAATGTATTCCTCTTTTGTCATTAGTAATAATAAATAAAATCTTCCTTCTCATGATATCAAATGAATATTAAAATCAAGCAGTAATGAGTTATGAGTTATGAGTACATTCTCACTACAAGTGCTGTAAGAAACGTCTGGAGGCGAGTAATGAGAATTTGTTTTTCTTTGTTGTTGTTGTTCCTAGTGAGCGTGCTAGTTCAAGTGGAGCCGCTGGCGAGAGGTTAAAGGAAGGAGCGAATATCAACAAATCTCTTGTGACTTTGGGGATTGTTATTTCGACACTTGGTAAATATATCATTCTATCCTTTTCTCCAGGTGCAGTCTCTTCCATTAATAGCTTAAGCGGTCCAAATCTTTCATTTCTCCGCGAAAAGTGGAATTGACAGGGAGTGTATTTTTCTCGTTAAGCGAGAGCGTAACGTGTGAGCGATACGCAGCGGACGAACATTTGAGACAAATTTTGGCCATGTGCAAAATTAGCTTTAACAAAGGAAACCTGAAAATAACAGTTTACTAAGATGGAAAAACACCAAAGAGATCATAATAAATCATAAAGGAACAAAGATAGCCAAGAATAACACGGATTACAATCTACGAACTTGAAAAATTTAGGCTAAGCTTTTCAAGATACGTGAACCGTGACGTGGCTCCTTCAATGCAGTCAGTTCTGCCTGACATTACCTCTGTTGTTTCTCCCACAGCTGAAAACTCCATTAATTCCTCGTCTTCATCAAAGCGTCCTTCATTCAGGAAGAAGCTGTTTGTTCCATACCGTGATTCTGTGCTGACATTTCTTCTTAAGGACAGTTTAGGAGGAAATTCTAAAACTGTTATGGTTGCAGGTCAGTTTTGATTTTTTTTTACTGTAACATAATCAATGGTAAATTACAGGGATTTCTCCTGCGAAAAAAAGTCTTATCTGTTCTCTGTTAAAGTCAAGATATGTTTCTCCTGTGCACACATCCATGTGCTAATGTTAGCTGGTGAGTTAGTAAAAATCTTGGGATCGTCTTCGTCATCTTCGGAAATCGTCGAAAATGTCTGGAAAACTTTGTCGACGGTTTCATTACTTTCGAGAAATCGTCGAAAATCTTCGGGAAATTTAAGCATATTTGGGTAATAAAAGGTAAATTGAAAGTTGATTTCTCGGAAGTATGAATTTTCTCTTCTCACATTCAACGCAATATCAGCTCATTCGCTGTGTTTGCTCTAAGAAAAACTCTAACTCTAGCCAGCGGAGAAATTTATTTCCCTCTTTATGTCGTGTTTGAGTTTTCTTTGTGCTTGTTTTCATGGACCTGTAGTTTGTAAGTTATTGCTTGTTTTTTTTTAGCTATTTCACCTGCCGAATGCAACTATGGAGAAACACTTAGCACTCTTCGCTACGCGCATCGAGCAAAGAGCATCATCAACATGCCAACAATTAACGAGGTAAAATAAAACTTGAGTGATTTTCATGTCACTGATAAGTTTAATATACCTTCAGGACGGTTTTACTGAAGACTGTTGGAAAAAAGCGATCCGAAGCATTGGAATCTTATGGAGCCAATCATAGCCATAGAGGCAATGAACCAATCAGATCTCGAAGCAAAGGGTGCCAAGCGCGGGAAAACATCAACTGGCACCAAGCGCGGGAAACGTGTGTAAATCAAGGCCGAGTCTTTAATTTTGTTCCTGATTTCTTGCTTAATTATATTTGTTCCTTTGTAGGATCCAAATGTCAAACTTATCAGGGAACTTAGATCTGAAATCGAGCGACTCAAATCCATCATCCGGGACACCGAAATGGGAGATGAGGTAACTTGCTACTCTGTGTGACTTCAACTTCTATGTCAACATTGTTCGGTTGTCATATAACGGTTGCTTTCGTTTTTCGTAGAAAATGTCCATAAATGACTCCATGAAAGCTGCAAAGAAACTTCATGAGAACCAAGCGCGGGTCGAGCAGCTAACAAAAGACTGGACCGAGAAATGGAAGGAAGCGAAATCCATCATGCAGGTGAGTGGAGTGGGTGGGGCACTGAGCAAAAGTGGAAAAAAAACACCCATCTTTTTACTGATAGATTTTTCTCTTGTCTTTGAGTTTCCCTTTATGATTACCAGTGAATCTTGTCAGATGTGCTTAGTTCTTGGTTTCTCTCACAATCGCATGATGCAGATCATTTAAGGTTTTACCTCTGGTTGTGTTTGCGTTTTTTCGCGTGGGAAAACTTTGTTTGATTTGGTAAATAAATGATTCCCATTGCTGTCCCTTATATTCTGCAGGAGAGCGAGTTACAGCTTCGTCGTCAAGGTTCATGTGTGGTTCTTGTCGACCTTGAACTTCCTCATTTGGTTCGCTTGGAGGAGGATCCGCTGAGAACAGAGATAATGCTGTATCGTGTCATGGTAAAAAATCTTTACAAGCTTTAGAGCATGTTTCATAAGGCATACGAATGTGGATAGTTGTGACACATCGAATTTTTGCGTCAGGTGGAGTAACAGTGATGAGATATTTGGGAGTTTAAGAACACCACGACGACGACGGCAACGAGAACATCACCAAACAATAATGAGCAAAACAATGGCTTTGCACGTGCGTTATAAATCTTTTTACATGTCTTAACCGTCCTCTACAAAGCAACAACGTGAAATGACCAAGTTCTGCGTAGTCTGAGGAACACGAACGAAGACGGTTTATTTCGTATTTCCATTTGGAATTGAAAGCCGTCAATGCATATTTAGCCTGAGCACGTTTTTAGAGCCATTTGCGTACTCAAAAGATCTAGGCAGTCAAAATGTAAATTCAGTTTTGAGTGGGCGTCGTACTCGGCGTCGCCGTCGTCGTTGCTTAAGCTCCCTTTATAGTCGACTTTTCTAGTTTAACAGTATGGCCAATAACTAATGGTCAACACATACAGCTCGCAGGTCACTGATTGTTTGTCATTGTATACCATAAAAAGGGTTCTCTAGTGACAACGAATTGCCTGAATTTAAGATCTCATGGATGTTGTTCTTGTTAACAGCACGGTAAGACACACATTGGACGAGAAGACGCCCCCAACCCTCAGGATATCGGTGAGTCGATAAAGAAACTTGTCACGTGATCTCTGACTCGTCGATAGTCGTCTCTTGAATTCATTGAATATTAACGAGGCTAGCACGAGCGTGAGGGGTGACGGGAAGGCGAAAAATCCTATGATCCCCTCCGCTCCACATCCCTAAGTTTCATCCAGACTCCCTCGACCGTTGCCGCTGATCTTAAGAGATGACTAGGGACTAGTCAGACATGATCCCGTGATCATGAAAACAACCGGATCTGCTGTACCGGTAACCTGACTATTTTTTTCCCAGTTCTTGAAGGTGAAGACATCGAGAAAGAACACTGCGTACTGGATTTTGTCAAAGGAAAGGTGACATTTGAACCGATTTCCGCCATGTGTTGGGTGAATGGAGTGGCTGTCACGCAGGCCACTAAACTCAATCAAGGTATCGTGATCTATTACTCGACAAATCAACCTCGTTTGTCGAATGGAATCCAGAAGCAGCAGGCGACTTCAGTAAACCTTTTGAGTGAAGGCTGTGTTCACACTTGGTGCCCGAGTACTGGTGCCTGAGCACCAGTACAAAATAGTGTTGCGTTTACACACTGGATACAATTACCCAAATACCATTAAGTGCCCAAGGTGGTGTGTGTGTTTGAAAAAAAGGTGTGTTCACATAAGTGTTCAGCGAGAATGGCACTCGGACACTGTATTTGGGCACCAAGTGTGAACGTAGCCTAAGAAGGAGAAAGTTACAAATATTAAATAGCCCTTATGAATGTTGACGTAAGATAGGTAGATCTCGAAAACACAAATCAGCAAAGATGAAAAGAATGCCCACGTCAAAACAGCACGGAGGTGTCAGAGGTTTGAGAAAGTTTTGCGCAAGCGAGACTTGGGGTGATGTGACGTAATCAAACATAAGACTTGTTCTCTTTGCTATTCCCCATAGATATCGTGTTACATTAATTACATTGCCTGCAGGGTTCAACCCTTTATAGAGTTGCCCTACTACCATACGCTTTTTGGGCTCGTCACGCAATCTTCCTTCCCCAAGATTGCGTGACGAGCGCAAAGAGCTTCTGCGTAAGAGGCTATAGAAAAACGGAGAAGGACGAGTTCAGTCACTGGACTATAACAGAGTGCGATGTTCTTGCAGGTGATGTTATTGTTCTTGGCAAGAGTGATGTCTTCAAATTCAACTTTCCAACGGAAGCAGCCAAACTGAGGGAAAAACGGCGCTCTGGCTTGTATGGGATGGTGAGTTCAACAGCTTTTCACGCAAAGTTTCGCAGAACACGCGATTTCACGCACACGCACGCAAACACCTATATGCGCGAAGCACTCGCGTGAATCATAACTATGTGATTTCTTTTGCGTCAGGAATCGACGGAGTCCTTGAGTAATTTCCATATCTCCCCGCTCCGTGGCAGTCAAGGCAATCTGAGTGTGAAGTCTGACTCTTCATCTCCGATGACGTTTGACTCGGGGTATGAAAGTTTTTTATTCTCACTGTGTGTGATTATTTTTTTAAATTATAATTTGAAACTGAAAATTCCTCATTATTTTAATTGTTGCAGTGTCGAGGCGGATCTTCCAGGAGCAGATTCTTTGGATGATCTCAAGTGAGTTGATTTTTTCAGATCTTACTTTCATTTCATTTTCATTTATTTTCGTGAAAACGGTTTATAATGGATCTTTTCTCTACTATGCGGAAAATGTTAATGTGATGGAAGTCATTGTCAACTCTACCCTCGTAGTAAGCGTTCCCGGGCGAAGAGCTTTTTCCGCATTCTGGCCGCGCGTAAATTGGAGCGAAAGCAAAAAAATCGACGAGGCAGGGGGTGGTGGGACGCTTCACTCGTACCACCACCACCCCCAGCTTCGGCGATGTTTTTGCTCTCGCTCCAATTTTTGCTCGGCCAGAATGCGGAAAAAGCTCTTTGGACGGGAACTCCTGCTACGCAGGCTATGTCGACACTCACGTAAGAGAGTTCAGTTTTTTCGTAGCGAGATAAATTTCATAGGTTGATGTTGATTTATGGGAAATAAACTGTAGAACCTTTTTGAATGTTCAGTACCTCTCATTAATTCTAACTGTAGTTGTTTATTTACATGGCTATTCATTTTGCAGAAATCAAGTGACGGATCTGATGGCTAGGCACAAAGAAGCTGAGGTGCGGCGACTGGAGATAGAGAGAGCTTTCCAAACTGAAATTGACAACAAACAAAAAGAAATCGACGATCAGAAAGAACACATTCAAACTTTGCGCGAACTGCACGAAACCAGGTCACAAAAAGCCAGACTAGATCTGGAGAACGTCCGGTTTAACATGGACAAAAAACATGACGACTCGAAGAACGACATCGAGAAACAACTGGAAGATTTGTTCGAGATGAAGATTAAACACAGCAGGGAAGTAGAGGAGTCGGCAGAAGAGATAGCGAAGGAACGAGAAGAGGTTGGTCGGTTTATGGAGGGTGAATGGCAGAAGATTATTCAGTACGAGATGAAACTAGCAGACATTGAGCTGCAGAGGCGTAAAGTGCTTGTTCAGACGGAGGTCGATCGAACGCAACAAGAGGAACTTCATGCTCTGGAGAGAGAAGGAGATTTAAAGGACCTGGAAGACAAACAGGTGAAGTTGTTGGAATTGCAAGAAACGCTTGAAAAAGCCAAGAACGAAGCAGAAGAGAACTTAAATCGGGACAAAATTACTTTAGAGTGTGCGCTTACGAAGAATTTAGCTGAACTAGACGAAGTAGAAAGAAAAATTCGACTTCTGGAGGAAAAACACGATCAGTATTTCACATACCTCAGCTCTTTGGAAGACTCCGCGGACACGGAGCAAAGTTGCGAGGAGAATGGAGTTGTCGATCATACCGACAAGAAACGGAGGATTTCGGATTGTGGTTTGAGACCTAAAACTGTTTCTTTCGATCTGCGACAACGGAGACGAACCAGCTGGAATTTAGATTCACGGCGTAAATTGGTTACTGATTCGGATGGTGGTGTTGACGATGTGCTAGCTATGCAAATGCAGAGCTTGTTAGAACTGAAAGAGGAAAAAGAAAAGATGATAGAGAAAACACGTGGCAAGTTAGCTGAGGAAATCACGAGTGTGGAATTCTACGGTCGACAAATCTTGGAAAACGAGGCTAAAATAACAGAACTTGAAGAACAGTACAAGACTTCGCGCCAGCAGCACGCTGAGAAAATTCGCTTGTGTTTGGAAAACTTGAAAAGCAAAGAAGAACAGGTAATCGGGGAAATTGACCAAGAACGCGAACGTTATGTGGAACTGTTATGGAAAGAATATGGTGAGATCGAAAGTTTGATTAACGAAACATTTGACTCCCTGAACTCCGGTGATCCCTCTGAAGGCGAAGAAGCCAGCGATGGCGAGACGAACGAACAGAGACGCGAAGTTCTTAGTTTGGTTAAGGGGAGATTAAAGCAGATTGGCTCTGATGAAGATGAATTATTTCTTGAGTATGTCGCTAAGCGAGCTCACTTTGAGAAAGACGAAGAACGTGTTCACGAGCAACAGAAACGTATCTCCGACCAGATGTTGGATGGTATCAAAGAGAAGGAGATCGCACTACAGAAACTCTCTGGACAAAAGGAAAGGTTCCACGTGGAAAGAGCGAGGGAGCGAAGGCTAATATATTCACGAATAAAGAGGCTTTCACGTGTGAAGTCGTCAGATGATCTTCAAAATGAGGAAGCGTTGGAGCTTTTCAAGGAAGAAGCGAGGAAACTTCGAGAGACATTCGAGAAAGTCGAGGAAAGTGAAAACAGGTAAGCTCAATGTTTCCATGTGAGAGTTGTTTTGAGGGAGTCTCCTTTGCGCGAGCTGAACATGCTTTTGACCTATCAGAGCGAAGATTATATCTGCTCAACCAATCAGGTTCGAGACTAATCGCAGTCAGCGCAAATTTTCCCGCCCGTTGCACGTTTTGGATTTTCTTTTTGTAGTGGTCGGTGTTTGCTTTTGTTTTGACCGCCACAAAGCCTAACAAACTGTGAATTAAACGACCTCAAAACAGGGCCGGGAACAGCTAAGAACACTTTTAGCAGGACATTGAGTAGACAATAACACACCGAAAGTGTCATAAACGTCGCTACGCCGAATTGAACTATGCAGACCTTGCGTAAGCAACCCTCCACTTGCTTAATAAGGCGTCACAGCTAAAACACATTTATTTTATATTGTCGTCTTTCGGTTGCAGTCTTCCCCTAAGGTCTAACACGATATCTTGTGTCACTTTTCACTTTTGTTTTCTGCGTCTCCGTTCCGTTATGATTTTTCTTTCAATAGAGTTTCCTCTAGAAATGACGATAGCCTGCGTAGCAAGCGTTTCTGTGGGGTTCGGGAGCAAAGAATTACAGCGCGAAAAATGGAGCTCTCGCCCCATTTTCCGCGCAGGCAAAACACCGAAAATCCCGTTCCTCGCTCTTTCTTTGGTCCCAAACCCCACGGAAACGCTTGCTACGCAGGCTAAAATGACGATTGAGTGTCACTTTTACACGAATTTTACACGTACTGATGAAAGGAAAAGAAAATTCCGAACAACAGAGCCCCGCGTAAACCTGAAAAAGTTTTCACTGACAGCTTGTTTTCATTATTTGACATATTTTTGTTGGTTTCCCCTATGTTGAACCAATCAAAACCAAGTTATTATGGGGGCGTAGGATTCATAGTTGTCACGTGGCGTGTTGGTGCCGACTGCGGGCTTTTTCATTGGCTAAGAAATTTGAAAAGCCAATTCAAAGACGAGATAACTAAAACATGAAACGTGAAATTCAAAAACATCTCGCTGTTTGACGCAGATTTGAATTTATATTTTGACTTCAGACTACAACTTGAACGGCGGGAACGAGAGAATATCCATCTGCAACTAGAGGAAGCACGAGCCAAGCTGCGAACAAGTGAAGAGGACAAAGAGGAATGCGAGGAGAAACTGAGAGACTTGGAAAAACAAAAACTGGAAAAGGAGAAAGAAATCAGTGAACTGAAAAGACAAATAGAGGAAGAAAAACAAAGCTATTTAGAAAATCTCAAGTAAGCTAACAGTAAAGTGAATAAATATAAACCTAGTGTAACTTTATTCAAGTGTAAGAGCCTTAGAGTATAGATCGCTGTGTTAACACGTTGCGATAATTCTATTAATCCGGTTATTCGTTTTTTGATTGGTGATTGCTCAGTTTTGCATTTTCACGCGCAAGTAACAACCAATCGGACACTACACGAATCTCTATAACGTTACGTCATCAGAGTGGAATTTTCGGGCCCAGTCTCTAACATTTGTTTTGTTGTCTTCTTAGTTTGGTGAAGTTTGCTTTATCGATGTTGTACAAATACAAACAATTGATTTTTGTTTTAAAATGTTTGACAGCTTGGCTGTGGCTTTCCTTTGAAATACTTGTGTTTTTCTTTATAGAACGGAAGATTACGAATTCATCGAGAAACCTCTAGGTAAGTAAACCTTGTCGTGTTATTCAGGTCCAGAGTGGTTGAATTTCTACTGTGTGAAGTGTTAACGAGCTTATTTTTGCCTGTTCCTTTTAATTCCAGTTAACCGACTTCACGTAAAATTCCGGGTGCTTGGTAACCACGCGGCTGCCGAGGTTCTGAAAGAGGTGAGTCACGTGACATTTTTTTTTCACCCAGTCCTAGATTTCCTCCTAGTGATTGTCATACGTTTCTCTCAATGTTAGTTACGAGAATTTCATGATAAATCAAGACAACATTCCGTAGTTGATTAATTCTTCATTCCCATCAACTGTTTATATTAACATTGTCAGGAGAAACAAGATTCTGATCACTCTTGAGCGTGTCGTTGTTTAAGAGACTTCTTGTCGTCTTTTCCAGGCCTTACTTGCATCAAGCGTCCCCGAGATGATCAAGTCGGCACCAGCATCCTGGGGCTCTTCGCGGCAAGGAGTAGATAATTCCTCGCACGGCGGATGGCTGTAAGAAAAATTCTGACTTTTTTATTTTGTGTTAGCGAACGATTTCACTTTAAACTCGTCAAAATGCAAGTTTTTGATTTTAAATTTGGCTGAGCCACCTGATTTCCATTTGATCACTTAATCGCTGGTCAAGCTGTTAATCTAGACTCCGAGTTGTCTCTCTTTCGCTAAGTCCTTCCAGTGAGGAAAAAATGGCCGCACGTAATCCTGGGGGCGAGAAGCGCGCTCCTCGCCCCCAGGATTTTGCCTGGCCATTTTTTTCTCGCGGTTTTCTTTCGCATCACGCACGACGGACTGACAAAGAGGGACTACTCGTTGTGAACCGCTAATCGTAAACATTTTGAGTAATTCAGAGGAAATTGTGTCACTTCATTTTGACTTACTGGGTTTCGTTTTATTTTTCTTGCAGGTTTCACAGTATTCAAAAAGACGTTACAATCGTACGGAAAAGAGAAGAAGGAGGCGGCGGACTTTTACACTGGTTAGAAAACTTTTTTTGTGTGTGTGTGTTGTAGTGAATGAGGCTTGCCTTCAAATAAGAAGGAGAACACGATTAAGACGTATTAGATTCCCTCTTTTGGATTTTTTAAATGACCCGGAAGAAAAATGAAGTACTCTTAACAGAGAATAAGAGCCAACAAAACCTTTTAATTCCAGATAATTAACTATTTTTCCACGAGCGCTATGTTAGTAAGTGTCCGTTTTAAACCAGTGGATCGAAAAATTGGAAAACATTTTTTCATCTTTCTTTCGAAAAATCTTAACGTTATCCCTGCTCTGTGCTTATCAAACGTAAAGTATAAAGTGCTCCACAATATGACTGTTGGTGTATTGCTGTTTCAGTTTTATGGGGCGAGGAGTCATTGAAGCATCACCGCTGACCGTTTGGGAAGCAGTCAAGAATCCGCTGTCCAGATATATTTATGACAACATGCTTAAGGTACAAAAACTGTCTGAGTTAATCGATAAACTAACGTGTTTATCGCCTCCCCTCGTCGTTGCTGTTCGCGTAAGTTGTTCCCTTGCGAGAGAGCGACTATTGCCTACCATGTTTTGTAACTAAAATAAGCGTTTATTATTCGTTTCCAGAAAATAAACATTGTAGAGCATGTCGAGGAAGGATTGAAAGTGGGTAAGTATCCGGAAGTTTGTAATATTGATTTTCATTCAGCTTTTTCAGTCTGGAGTCTTCACCAGTATTGGCAAGCTTTTGTAGTAATAGCTTTACTGACCGGGTAGGGAGCAGGGATGGCGCAGTGTTGAGAGCGCTCACCTCCCACCAATGTGGTCCGGGTTCGATTGCGGCCCGGTGCCATATGTGGGTTGAGTTTGTTGTTGGTTCTCGTCTTGCTCCGAGGGTTTTTCTCCAGGTTCTCCGGTTTTCCTCCCTCCACAAAAAGAAATTCAAATCCAAATTCCAATTCGACCAGGATAGACGACTCGCATGAAAACCAGTTAAGGCTGATGTGGCTTCCTCTCTAAATATTGTAATTTACTGCCGAGAAAGTAAATTTCAGGAGAAAAAATAAGAGCACTACACGAAGCGTAAATTAAAGGCTACTATCAGCTAGTTTTTGGTATATCAAAGAGTTCTAAAACATACCTTGATTACATAAAATACAGCAATTATGCCTTTCTTTTGTTTAACAATACTCGACAAATGACAGGACCCAATTAGGATTTAAGGATGGCTAATGATGGCAAGGATGGAAATGGATTTCGATTCGTTTAATTTCCTTGACATTTCATTGATTTCTTTATTTCAGTGTACATGCTTCACGAGACATCTCAGTGCTTTATGACACACTCACGTGACTTCTGTTACGTATCCAAAGAACGCGTGGAGGTGAGTTAAATCCTGCTTAAAGGTAATGTATTGCTTACAGCCTCTCGCCTTTATCAAATCGAGTAGTGGGGAAAAAAACAATCACAAACCGAAGGTGGTCGATGGGTAGGACTCGAGCGGAGTCTCCGTTCGAGGCAGTGGTTAGGAAGTGGCTTTGGAAAACCTTCTTCTCTTTTCATCTATTCCACGAGTGGACATCCTGGGGCCGCCGGGATGAAGGCAACCTGAACTGTGAATGAATTGTTGTGTATCTATTTCAGCACAAGTCCTGTAAGGCCAAGTTCAAACTGGCGACATAACGACATAACAAGGACGTTATGTCGTTGTGTTTGTAGTGTGAACATCCTGACATAATGACGTAATAGTAACATGACAGCATGAACATAACAACATGAGGAAAAAAAACCGATATTTTCCTTTTGTTTTTATGTCGATGTTCACATTGCAACATAAACTATCATGTCGTTATGTCATTATGATGTTATGTCGTTACGTCGCTAGAGTGAACCAGACCTAAGTGACGAATATGATTAAACTAAATTTTGTTGAAACATGGGAATCACGCAAACTAGCGTGACCTACCCCTTCAACATAGCGTGACAGTAAACGGTCATCGTCAGTGATGAGATCGTTCTTGTCAGCCACTGAAGCATTTTTGACGAGTCTTCATTGCCGCTGTTTACTGTTTTCAGGGTCAAAAGTATGTGCTGGCATCTCAATCGATTGAACATCCGAAGTGTCCACTGTCCACCTCAATCATCCGCGGACAGGTTAGTGCTAAGTGCCCGCGTAATCACTTGAAGGTTAGGTTCATGTTTTTCAGAAACTGTCTCTTATCTCTCGTCAGTGTTCAGAACGATTTTCAGATTTTGTCAATTTAAGGAATGTTTTCTACCCAACCTGTGATCCGGGGCAACACAGATCGGAAATACTGTGCTACTGAGATATATAAACCCTTTATCAGTTGTCGTTACATTTGTTGTTCTTTTAAACCATTTGTTTTGATCAAAGTTTTCTCACTTTTCCTTTAGATCATGTCCAGTGGATGGATTGTGGAACCAGTACGCGTTAACGGCCAGGACTGTTCCCTTGTGTGGTACATCACCAAGGTAAGTTGTTGTTTTAAAGGAGCTCAGTTACGGTATTTTGGGCTATTTTGACCACGTACAAAATTACCTAGAAATTGAAGGAAACTTGAAAATAGTAGTTGACGTAGATAGGAAAACACCAAAGAGATAATAATAAACCATAAAGGAACAAGGATTGTTAAGAATGGAGAGGTTTAACACGGATTACGATCGACTAATTTTTAAGCTTAACGTTTCAAGATGCGCGAACCATGACAAATAGATAAATAAATTACAATATTTAGAGAGGAAGTCACATCAGCCTTAGCTGGTTTCCATGCAGGTCCTCTATCCTGGTCGAATTGGAATTTGGAGATGTCAGTTTTTGAAGTTGGTGCATTCAACGCTTGTGAGTTATGTTGAATTGAACAGGAGGACTTACAGAAACACGCCGTGGCTTCGTATATTTTACTTAGCCTTATTATTAGCGTTAGTTTTGAACAGCAGTGGGCTGGTCAAGAAATACCAGTTGGGGCTACGATTACGATAAGCCGTCAAATCGAAAGAAGGGTTTAGCATTGACGTTGAAGACAAAAGCCAAGCAATTGTTACAAATTTCTGGCAAGTTTCCTGATCATTCCAACTGTAGTCAACATTTTTGGCGGGTTTCTTTGGAATAAATGTCGCGCACCCCTGAAGAGAGGACCTTCATCGTTAAGATTGCTGCCCACGCGCACAGAGCGATTCCGGCATAACCTTTCTTCAATCATCATCGTGTTTCTTTCCCACTTCTCTTACAGGTTCACCTCGGCTCTTCATCCCTTCCATGGCGGTTAATTGATCTGCTATCCAAACGACAGCCCCTCAGTATAGCCTTCCTACGGAACTACCTGGCGCCTCCTTGAGTATACCGAGCTGCTATCCAAACGGCAGCCCCGTCTATATAGCGTGCCTACGGAGCCTGCTGGCCCATCCATAAGGTTACTAAACGGCAGGCCCTCGTTAGAGTGTACTTATGAAGCTTGCGAATTGCTATGCAAGGGAGCCCTTCATTATATGGAGCTCTTTGGCGCCACAGGAGAACAATATTCTTTTAGCATACAAAAATACGTGTTTTTACTCTAAATACATTTTAAAGCAAGAGTCGAAATTCCAAGTTCCAAATTTTAAATTTATCGCCTAAAGGGATTAATTTGAACGTTTTTAAGAATTTCGTTTATTGTTATATAATGTTAATATGGCAAGATGTTTGTCAGTGCTATGAAGGTGCAACGTACCATAAAATCGGAGTTTATCCACCATATATGTAGTGGGATTCCTAGATTTGTTTAGTATTTATTCGGCTTAGCTTTGGGTTCATCCCACTCATCAACAATTCCATTTTAGCTGTTAATTTAAATGGGGGTTGAAACTTTCTGTTGTGGTTGGTAACTTGTTCAGTTTAAAAACAAAGAGGTTATTTTACCCTTGAATTTGTAGCAGATTTTTAGCGTTTTTATTCACATCTGCTTCTTATGCAAGGCATTTTAAGAGAAGTATCGTCTACAGCAATTTATATGCAAAGACAAAAATGGACTGTATATAACACTTTCTGCGCTTGCGAACTAAAATATTTCCTTATTGCTGGTTAAATTTTATGAAAGAGTATTTAATTATAGAGTAAATCAATAGATATTTTGGGAATTGTATTATAGCGGTGTATTTTGAATTGAAGAGCAAATTTAACATTTGTAACGTACAATTTGTAGGACATGGGTTTGGATGCAAATCGTTTCTTGACGTCTCTACGTTGTATTTTTTTTTAATTTTGGTTTTCTTAGTACTCGGTCAGTCGAGCAAAGTCAGGGTACGAGGTGAAGATTCAATAACGGGGCAATTATAAGGTCACGCAAGGATAAAGCACGTGTGACTACAAGCAATTTGATTGGACAAGAAATTTGAAAAAGCCAACATAAAGATAACAAGTTCTTAGCGGTGTAAAAATCTCGTTCCCAGAGACCGCGATCCTTTTGGCCAGTCAAAATGAGGTGAGCCAGCATTAGGCACAGCGGTTATTCCATCTAGTCATGTTCTGAAATCGTTATTGAATTTGAACGCATGCGTACAATAAAAAAAGATCAAGCCGAAGCTAGCATATCCTGGTTCCGAAACCTCGCAGGTCCTGGGGACGCGATTTGTGGTGGGATCAAAAGAGAACGGATCCCGGAAACTTCCTCTTTACTTTGAATTGTAGTTTGACCAACAACTCTCGTGTGATGACTGCTAGTATCGTGTGCTCATATCGTTTTTGATCCTGCTCAAACGATCATTTTTTGTCTCATCCACAGGCAAATAATATCATTTCTGGCCTACTCTCAGCTCGTTTGATCACCTTGCGAAGAGTAAAGAAAAACATCATCGACTTTCGTTCACGTTTGATCCGCACCTTAGTTTTGTCTCAGTTATGAGTAATTGTCATTTTTTAGGGGTTAGTATTTGGGTAGAGTTATAGTTTTAATGCCTTTGCATACATTTGTTAGCGTTTTCGAGGCTTTCAGATTGTTGACAACCTGCAAAATGTGTAGCGACGGAAAAATTAGACATGCGAGAGCTTGGAACATGCTAACATTTCTTAGTTTTGATAAAACAAAATTTCCAATGGTAAATGACATTTAGATAGTTAATAGTCACAAATGATATTTATGCTATAGTTGGTTGGAAGGTGAATAACTTTATACAAGTATTTTGTTTCGTTACAGTAGCCCTCAGTGCAAAACTGATCTCAGTAAAGAACAGTTTGAATTTATGATTTTTTTAGTGATCTCAATTTCCTTCTGGAGTTTCTGGGCGTCGGTAATTTCGTGGTACGTTCTGATTAAGTATGAATTTATCGTGTAATATTTTGGAGAACATTAATGAAATGGCCATAAATCGGTCAAGCTACATCGGCACAATTTCGTCTTTAAACATTCAATGACATTTTGAGAAATGTACTGAAGGCTTTCATTACCTATGAAAAAACCATGTGTTCATTTTTGTATTATTTTTTGTTTAATTTTATTTTTTAAATTTATTTTTCCTAGTTTTTGGTATTTAAAGGAGTTGTTCGTTGCAGATCAAATAGCTTCCACCTGGCCAACATTTGTGCCAAATTTGAGCGTGATCTGTAATTTAATGTATAAGTCGTACCATTTACACGTCACGAAGCCACCACGGACACAACCATCCAAGCTCAATCCCAGGCTCGTCCTCCTTTACCTCCCTTGTCTTGAGCCTGGGTTCAAGGTTGACAGCCATCAAGCTTCGCCAAATATATAAATAATGAATTCAAGCAGCACTGTGATACAAGTTCAATCAAACCAAAGCCATCCAAGGGAACCCAAGGGAAACTTCAGTTGCAAACAAGTTTGCCGCTCGATCAGTTTGCATCGTGTCGCCCCAACTAAACCGGGGTATGTACAAAACTTGGACCGAAACAACTCGGATCGCTGATTTAAATAATGGTGACTTTGACTTATACCCCGTTCTGTGATAGTTACCATTCGTATTTAAATCAGCTGAAGTTCCACGAATTTTTACCCCAAGTTTTTGAGTTACTTTTTTGGTAAAAAAAAAAAAATACCTCTTAGTCCGCGCGTCAGGTATGCTATGGACGGGTCAATGGATGAGTAAGTGAGTGAGAGATGTATGTATGTCACACCAATCAGATTGGATCTACTATAAACAGCCAATCAAATTTCTTGTTGTAAAGGTAAATGGTATGT